CAACCAACCAACCAACTAACCAACTGGTACTGAAGGCCTTGCTAAACTGCGAGCTATTCCTAAGAAACAAACACATTGGTACCTTAAAGATTTTTTTAAATAATAATTAAATATATATATTATATAATCAATATATTTTTATTTATTTATATTAAATTAGGTATACTATTAATTAGTTTATTATCTTAATATTTTTTTAAAACAATTTAGATATATAATTATATATCTATATTAATTTTATCGAATTAAATATTATTAATTTATAGAAATATTTAATACATTTATTCAATTCATTATGTATTTAAAATAAACAACATATATTCAATATATATATATATATATTTAAAAAACATATATAATATTAGAGAGAACCCGTTATTTCCAATAATGGCCCATAGCAAGCAGCAAGACTAAACAGCAAGGCAGCCAGAGGCAAGCAAAGGCAAGCAAAGGCAAACAAACGCAGGCAAACGCAGGCAAACGCAGGTAAACACAGGCAAACGCAGGCAAACGCAGGCAAAGGCAAGCAAAGGCAGATAGAGGCAGATAGAGGCAAGCAAAAAAGCAGGCAGAGGTAAACAGAGGCAAATAGAAACAAACAGAGACAAATAGAGATAGACAGAGGCAGGCAGAGGCAAACAGAGGAAAGGCAGAGATAGGCAAAGATAAGTGGAGGTAGGCAGAGGCAGATAGAAGCAAGTAAAGAATAGTAGAAGCAGGCAGAAGTAGGTAAGTAGAAATAGAAAAGGTAGAGGTAAATAGAGGTAAGTAAGTAGAAACAAGTAGAGGTAAATAGAGGCAAAACAAATAGAGGCAAATAAATAGAGGCAAATGGACAAGTAGAGATAAGAGGCAGATAAGCAAATATGTAGGCAGCTAGAGGCAAACGAATAAGCAAACAAAGGCATACAGAAATAAACAAATAAATAAGTAGAGGTATATGAAGCAAACAAAAATAGATCGAAAGAAATAGAGGTAAATAGTCAGGTAAAGGCAAGCAGAAGCAGGCAGAAGTAGATAGAGGCAAGTAGAGGCAAGCAAAGACAAGCAAGCAAAAACAAATCAAAAGAGGCAAGCAAATAGAAATAAATAAGCAAAAGAAAGTAACTAATAACAAGCAAAAATAAATAATGATAAGTAGAATCAAAAGAATAAGTATAAATAAATAAGCAAGCACAAGCAAAAGCAAACAAAAATAATCATATATAAACAATAATAAAAAAAACAATATATAAATAATAACATATATATTATAATAAACAAATAATAATAATCAATTTCGTAAAAAACAAACAATAATATGTAAACTAAAATAAATAAATAATAATAATAGCAAATACCAACAAACAACCAATAACCCACAAAAATGGCAGAGAACAACAAATAAACAAACCATTAATAAAAATCAACCAACAACAAATAACAACAAACAAAAACATAAACAAACAAAGAAAAGCAAACAAGAAGCAAACCCAAACACAACAAACAACAAATAGAATCATAAATAAATAAATAAATATCAATAAAACAAACAAAGGAATAAAACATAAACAAAGATAATTAAAACTAAATAAAAACAAACAAACACAACGACAAATAAATATAAATAAACACAAACAAACAAACAAAAACAAACAAACAAAATTAAACAAACAATCAAAAACACACAAACAAACAAAAACACACAAACAAACAAACACACACAAAAAGGCAAACAAACAAACAAACAAATAGAAACACCGAACAACAGAGAGACAAAAACAAAGACACAAAGAGACAGAGAAACAAAGAGACAGAGAAACAAAGAGACAGAGAGACAAAGAGATACGGAAGCAGAGAAACAGAGAGACAAAGAGACAGAGAGACAAAGAGATACGGAGGCAGAGAGGCAGAGAGGCAGAGAGGCAGAGAGGCAGAGAGGCAGAGAGGCAGAGAGGCAGAGAGGCAGAGAGGCAGAGAGGCAGAGAGGCAGAGAGGCAGAGAGATAGAGAGACAGAGAGACAAAGAGACAGATACAAAAACACAACAAACACAGAAGACACAGAAAACCACACACAGAAACACACAAAGACACAGACACGCACAGAGGCAGAGAGACAGAGAAATAGAGGGAAAGCAAAACAGAGAGACAGAGAAACAAAGAGACAAAGAGACAGAGTAACAGAGAGACATAGCAATAAAGAGACAGAAAGAAAGACAAAAAGAAAAAAAAAACAAGAAAGCAAGAAAGAAAGAAAGAAAGGAAAAAAGGAAGAGAGAAAGAAAGAAAGCAAGGAAATAAAGAAGGAAGGAAAGAAGGAAAGAAGGAAGGAAGGCAGGGAGGGAGGGAGGGAGGGAGGGAAGGAAGGACGAAGGGAAGGAAGGAGGGAGGGAGGGAAAGAAAGAAAGAAGGAAAGAAAAGAAAGAAAGGAAAGAAAGGAAAGAAAGGAAAGAAAGGAAAGCAAACAAAAAGAAAAGAAAGAAAAGAAGAAGAAAAACACACAAAAAAGCAAAAAAAGAAAGAAAGAAAGAAAGAAGGAAACAAATAAAGAAAGAAAAAAAAATAGAAAGACAGAAAGACAGAAAGACAGAAAGACAGAAAGACAGACAGACAGAAAGACAGACAGACAGACAGACAGACAGACAGACAGACAGACAGACAGACAGACAGACAGCCAGCCAGCAAGCAAGCAAGCAAGCAAGCAAGCAAGCAAGAAAGCAGGCCATGGAGAAAGGACCGGGACGGGCTCAGTCGCTTGCCGCAAGCACGGCGGCACGACGATTCGGCCGAAGTGCCGCTACAACGGCTCTACGAGGCACGCGAAATGCGACCCCGAGGGGCCGCCTACGCGGCGGCATGGCAAAGAAAGCCGAGCCCAGCAGAGCCACTGGAGCTTACGGGCACGGTAGTTTAGGCAAGGGCATGCGACAAAGCTGAGAGCCAAACAGCAGACAAGAACAGCCGGGTTTTAGCAGACCTGGGAACGAACCCTCATGCACGTGGACTCCTTCCCGGGCGTCGCGAAGCGAACCAAGGTGCTCGCGACCTGAGCTGGATGCAGGCAACAGAGCAAATCGATTGGATATATTCAAAAAAATAAAAATAAAAATAAAACGCCCGGCACGAAATTTGCCGGACATTTCGCCTCGGATACATCCCCAAATTTCCCGAATATTTGGCCCGTTATTTTTTTCGGAAGGCCGCCAAATTGTGAAGACATTTACGGGGGTTACGTTCGGAGATCTGAGAGCCGGGCCGCCGGAAGAAACCCAAAATTCAGGAAAATTTGGCCGGGTTATGCCGCGAGAGCTTGAGGGAAGATCCGCAGAACCCCTCCAAAATTTTGGCAAAATTTTGGGGATTTCCGGGCCGCGCGAAGAGGCAGGAGCTTGCGCCGCGGAGAAAGGACCGGGACGGGCACAGCCGCAAGCGCGACGATTCAGCCGGGGTACCGCTGCAGCGGAGCATGGGAAATGCGATCCCGAGGCTGCACCGGTTTATAGGAGAAGAATTATTATATTCCAATAGTTTTAATTATTTTAATTAACATTTATATATTATTATAATTAGATTATTATAAATTCATAAAAAAACTACCTTTTTGCATAATTTGTATATAAAGAACATTATATTTCATATTATAAAAAAGAAAAATATTTAAATACACAATAGCTATTTATAATTAAATATGAATTTCTTCGAGTATAAATTTAATATATTATTCAAATAATTATATATATATATATATTATTGCATTATCTATATATATATATATATATATATTTAATTCAAAATAATATAACATATAATTTCAAAAATATATTATAATATATGTATATATATATATATATTATTAAACATATCGAACACATTATTTTACATATCATATAACTATAAATAATTCGAAATCTTATAATTTACATATATCAATCGAAATTCAAAAAATATATAAATTAAACCTAAACATATTATTGTGTTAAAATTGTTTTTCAAAAAATATTAAAAAATATATAAATTAATTATAAAGAAAGAAAGGGAAAACACAACAAATATTGTTTTCAATTAAAAAAGAAAGAAAGAAAGGAAAAAAAAAAAACAATCCCCCCCCCCTTCGTAAATTCGATTCCAATATAAAAGCTAAAAAAAATTTATCACAAAACACAACATATCCTAAATATTTATTTTTATAACAACACATCAATCTTAAATAAACCCCATCGATTATCAACAAATATTAGTAAATTTCGGAAATATCCTGCCAAATATAATCGTAATCATTCATATTATAGAATAATTATACAACCCAATAATTACAAGTCATCGAAACATTTGTTCAGCGTCGCAGAGACGTAGAGACGCAGAGACGCAGAGACGCAGACACGCAGAGATACAGAGACACAGAGACACAGAGACACAATGACACAGACACACAGCGACACAGAGACAACGAGAACTTCATGACCGACTACGAAGAACATTGCGGCGCACAAATTCGCACGCTCGGCTAATTCAGCCCCCTTCCTGGTCATCGCGCGCTAGGGAAGAATCGATCCCAGGATCACCGGATTTCACGACGTGCGGCAAGGCCAGGCGCGGAGAACGAGCCAGCAGACCGCGCAAAATTTCCGCCCAGCCGGGGCCAGGATGGATTTCCACCACGTTTCTGACTCTTTTCGATATTTTCTGGATTCCCGGGAACAAGTTCCTTCCCGGATTTTCCGGAAAGTCCTGAATTCTTCCCACATTTTGCGGATGTTCCTTCCCGTATTTTTCGGATATTTGGGAAAAGCGAGACCGGCGAGCTTGTTCCCAGATTTCCGCAAATCCGAGAACGAGATTCTTCTGGCTTTTCCCAAATTGTCCGAAAAACCGGCAAGACTTTGAAGGACGGCTTCCCCCCACAAAATGCGCATCTCCCGGCCTGCCAAACTATTGAGCGAGCGCACACCCGCCACACACACACACACGCCGCCCATATATGTGATATCAGATGGAATTTAGTAAGATTGGATGTTACATGGTTTTCTTTTTGCATCGGTCATTTGGATTGTAGTGTCATTCCAATTCCCCGCACTCGATGTCGGCGGTGGATTGCCGTCCATATCCGGAAGTTCCCTGGCGTGTCAAATGGGCAAGGTGGACTGCTTTCTGACTCAGGTGTTGTGCTGCACACCAACTTTGTGTTCAATGCCACACGCATCTCCAAAAAGGGCTGTATGGGAAGGCCCAAAGAAAGGAAGCCTCCCTCGACTAACATAGCACCTGTGAGAGGGCACCTGGAAGATCATTGTCCCACGTGGAGTGAAGGTACCCTTCAGACCTCAAGAACCCCGCACCTCTGGAAAAGGCTTGGCATCGAGGTCATACGAGCTCAAATTTGCCCAGGAGGTCAAGTCGTTAGATCCTTGGTTGCAGTTACTGCACTGTCCTGAGTGAACGATTGTGACTGCACAGACAAATCCAGCCCGAACCGAGAACTCAGCCACTCCAGAAAAACTATCCAGCCAACATCGTCCCGCTACAGAAGAGACAAATGTGCTCTCCAATATCTTCCGCCCATCAGTCGACCTCCATATTGTTTCGGCTCAAAAAACCGGTACCAAAATGGAACCCTGGTAAGTGGAAAGATGGACCAAAACCTGCGGGTTGCCACCCACATGGCTCCAATGCGGAGCGGAACTCTTTATCTGAGCTCTCCACCTCTCAACGTCCATTTCCTGGGGTGGGTCTCATCGTGCCCATCGCGGCGGGAGGTGATGGAGAAGGAGGCGACCTGTTTCGGCACCTGGCATCAAAGCCAATGCGCTTCCGCTTTTTGTTTTTGCGGGTATCGAGATTGGTTTCAAGTGAAACGAAAGAACCATCAAAATCAATCTTGGGGGTTCCACTGTGATAGAGACCCAAACTTTTTGCGTAACCTCTCCGGTCCGGCGCCTGAATGAGCAATGGGCTGAGATACGCAAGTCGGCGCAGATTTACGGAAACCCCACGAAGTTTCCCCAACTGCGTTGCGTAAAATTCCAACTTAGCTCCGGCCATGGTGCCAAACGCAACGCTTGGATCCCGCAAACTCTTTCGGGGGAGGGTCATTGACCGTCCCGAGAAGGGCTGCGTCTCATGGTGTTCAGCCACCTTTTGGAGATGACGCTGATGCTGGTGATGATGATTGTGATGATCAAGCCCGGTGGCATTGCCATTGAGAAAACAAGCAGCTCCACACCAAACGCTCAGCGATGCTGGTGTGAAAGGGTCGGCCTGAAAGTCGATGATCAGCTTCGCCGCCAGCGTAGGCCTGTCCAATACAACCAGTTGGAGCCCTCATGGTGTGTGCTGGCAAGAGAACCCCTTCACAGGAAACCTATCCATCATGAGAGAATGTGTCAAAATTAGTGTCTGTCCTAAATAGATACCTGCAGTAGATTCAGCAGATGGACAAACTATTCAACACCCAGACTTAGAGAATGCTGCGTGCACCCTGCACCCAAGATCTCAACTTTCTACGGTAGGTTGAACACACAGCCATAAGGTTCAAGGCGACACAATATATATATATATATATAGGTATATATTTATACACATGCCCTGTTGTGTCATGTTCCTGCCCACGAGGGTGTGAAGGCCTTGATGTAGCCACTATGGCAATGTGCAAAAAGGATTAACTTCCTCCGAGCCTCTAAACCCCTAGCCGAGGCGGGCAGCAGTGAAGCGTTCAGAATAAACTTCAAAATACTCCCCCGAATGAACAATCTGAGAAACACTGGCCACAACCTGAACGGATTCTTACCCAGCCTCCGGGCTGTACTTTTAGACACGAGTGCATGGCGACCATAAACTGCCTTCAACTTAACACCTTGCCCAACCCCCGCGAAAAGTTGAAGACCTTCCAGCCGCTTACATGTTTTTTTCGTCGGATCCCGCCTGTGCAGGTCCCGGCCGTTGGCCACCTCGCCTTCCAGGGAATAGGTGTCGTCCACCTGGCCAGTTGCGCGACCGGGTCCCGTTGGCCCGGACGCTGGACGCTCAGCTCAAAGAGACAAGTGGTCAGGAGAGCCAACACTTCCTCTAGATCCCTAGAAGCTCCCCACGAACCTCTCTTTGAGCACTGCACGCCCCTTTTCGGGTGTCTGAAGAACAAAAATCGGGTCCCGACCCAAAGGCCGCCGCCAGACACGCCCCGATCCCCCCTCGCGACCCCTCGCCCGCCTGGGCCACGGTGAAGGGGTTGCCGTCCAGGGCGTTCCAGGGCTCGCTCCCCTGGAACCCGAAGCTGGCGGGGACCTTGGCCCGGCCTTGGTGGAGGAAGGCGCTGCCCCGCGCGGCCGGCACCTTGGAAGGCAGGCCAAAGGCGAAATGGCTGGCGAGAAAACACGAGGACAGCCATCGACTATATATATATATATATATATATTGTTTTTCATGTGTATATATATGTATGTACATATATATATATATATGTATGCAAATGTATTCATTCATTTGTATATCCATTCATTGAATGTTTTATGTTTTACTCGTGCAGAAAGGCCGGTCTCATGCGGGCAGGTCTTCAAGAGCAACAGACTGGGATCTCAAGGATGCATCAAAGAGACTCCCAGGGAATCTAACAAAGCAACAGGGGTTTCCCTGTTGGGCAAGCTGCCGCCCGGGTTGAAATCTAGCATGGAAGCCTGACCCTTGTTGAGGACATTGGGGGGAGAACCCCAAAAATGGCCCACGAAACCCATACGCCAAGTTCTTAGCCGGTCATTCCCAATGCGATTTGAGGCGCCAGGATGTTCTTGCCCGTCTCATCCTTGAAGGCCAGGCCCGCCAGGCTCCAGGCCGCCTCAGTCTCCCCGTTGCAGGCGTGGACCTGCAGCATCATGTAGCGATACGGACAGGGCTGTTGCCAGCTCCTGCCCTGGGCCGAAGCCAAGAAGAGCAGCAAACATCTCAAGGTTTGGTACCTGGCGCGGGAGGATAGGGAGGAGAGGTACCAGCAAGAGATGGCGCCGAATCTCGCAAACGGCCAAAGAGGTTTTGGTTGGCCAGCTATGACCAGGTGGAACAAGGGCCCACGAGAAGAGCTGGGCCACCTGTTTGTCACTCTGGGCGCCACAGGCACTACATGACCCATGGTGGAACTCAGCCATTGGAGCGATTGGTGCTACGCAGGCGCTCAGATTCCTTGCAGCCAATTTGAGTGCTCCAAACACCCCAAGAAGAGTTTGATGCTTGAATCCTCGGAGAAAAAAAAGGGAAGGTATAGTTGAAGCCCCAAACGGGGAAATCCGCCGGCATTTGCGGTCAAGGTGCCCCATGGCATCACCAAGAAATCAAGACTCACCAGGCGACATGGACTGGCTCCTATCCGAGCTGTGGGACGGAGCCAACTGGCCACGGGCGTTGGCAGATAAAATCGCCAGACATGCACCACCGCCACCGCCACACGAAAGGGCGGGAAGCTTCAACTTTGGCACGTCAGTGCAAATCCATCCCCTGTCAAGTGAAGCAACTGGGTTCTCCAGCGACTAAGGGGCCCTTTGCGCAAATGAAGTAGGCCAGCACCATGCTTGCCAATCTCTACCTCTTCAGCATCACCGGAGCACTGCACATGGTGGGCCAAATGGTCAACGTCTCTCCTCTCTCCTTCGCTTTGCAAAAGCCCTCGTTTTTTCGAGCCACCACTGAAGGTGCACCTGTATCTTCGACAACCCGAGCACGGCCCGGAAGCAAGAAATTCGGTGGGGCCAGATCAGGCCAGTCATTTCCCGCGGGGATTTGCCGAATTTGTGGACTGCCACCGCACCTGTTTGAAATTCCATGGCCCGAGAAGTTCCTTCCCGCCAGGAAACTCACACGCAAACAGGCGCCCGTCAGCTTTCAGATGTTCGGGATGGTGCGAACCGTCAGCCAGCTTTCATCTTCGAGCCCGGAGGAGTGCTTTGATCTCTTCCAAAACAGCGGCTTTGCTCCGGCCCCCCGTCTTCACCTCCAAGCCCTCCTCGGCAAAGAGGCCATCTACATGGTCGCACTTGACTTGCACGAACAGAAATGTCTTGAAACTCCGCCACTCGGCCAGCCTCTGCCATCTGTCCTTTACATGTGCTATACAGTCAACAATTATCACGGTGTCAACTTACCCCAGAGTAGTCACAAAGATAATAAAGGCTCGACAATGTGCCCTGCCAATCCTTTAAGCACAGCAGGTGCTACTCGGGTATCACATTCAATCCGCAGTCGACTGCTCGAGTGTTGCTTTTCTTGCACATCCAAACCTGGCCATGCGCACCAACCCTGCGATGCACCATCATTGGACCAAATCTTCAATTGGACGCACGTTCTCGTCATGCAATGCAGAACACTCCACTCAATCTCACTCCTTTAATTAACAAACAGAACTAGCAAAAAGGCACAGACAAATGGGCGTGGGTTGCCCTGGTGAATGGAAAAATCGGCTACAACCTGCAGTTTTTGGTGGTTCAATTCTTACCCATGCCCAAAAACAGAGGGGGGAAGGCGAATCCGGCGACTCTGGGCTTCGTCACGCCTGCGCCGCAAAGGCTCGCAGCTCGGCAAACTTGGAGTCCGGACTCAGGTCCGCCAGTCGCAGCTTGGCGAAGCGCTGGTCCCAGTCACGGAAAGGATCCTACCACCGGGGGGGGGGGGTGTTAGCGGTTCTAATCGATTCTAATCACTTAGCCAACGCCAACTCTTGGACCAAGCACATGGCGGAAAATCTACATGTCGCTGAAGCAAGGCCCTGGACAGGATGTTCAAGTATTGCCCAATCGGTTGGGTTCAAACATGTTCAAACTGGCCTCGACCTCCGCCTCCGTCTTCGTGCCCTCAATCTCGCTCTCGGCCGCAAAAGTGAGTTTGGGCATGGGATTGCCCAGGGCCAGCCACACCAGCAGTCCGGCGCAGCCCGCCGTAACCAGGGACGCCACCAGGGTGGCGATCAGCGAGCTGGCCACGAAGACGTTGGCCGCCACCATGGGCAGACTGATGAAAGTCCACCAGGCCGCCATGCTGCCCAGCAGCAAGGTGGGGCCCAAGGCCAACAAGCCCACCACCCCGGCCGCCACCCACGGAAGCATCTGCTCCTCACGCTGCCTCGCCCTCCGGCCCAGCCGGCCCAGCCGACCCGGCGGCCTTCGCCTCGAGCGGCTCAGCCGGGCGGCCAGGCCAACCCAGGCGCCGCGCCAGACGCACGGCGCACATGCCGCCAGGGGCACGCTGGACCCGGCAGGCACGCGCACATGGAGCGGAGTCGGGCAGGCACCCACCCGCACGGGTCCAGCCAGGCGCGGCGCAGCCCAAACTTCCGCGACCTCCATGGCCGCCCCAATTCGAAGGCTCCAAGATGCTGCGGGAAGTCCACTGCAGAAGGGCAAGTCTGCCATCCTCCACACCTTCTGACAAGTGCGACGGCCTCTTGGAATCGGCCTCGAACGCAAGGGTCAAGGGGAGCACTGCCTCCAGCATGATAAACACACACACACTTATCTTTACACATCTGAACTAAACAAGTTCAAACATGGACGCGAAGCTTGGAAGCGGCCCAATGTGATTTGTTGAACTCAGCATCTTCACTGATTGATTGAGACCCCAACTTTTGTGGGTCTAAGTTGGTCAACCCAGAAGGTTCATGGCTGGCTCTGCGCTCAAGTTGCCACCGTTTGAAAGCAGAAGGCAACGAAGCAATGAAGCAGTATGCATGGTTGCTTCAAGATCCCAACCGCCCTGCCAGCATGGAAAATAGAGACGAAAACCGCATGCTTTACTGCTTTGCACCCTTCCTCGCACCAGTCCTTGCACCAGAGGAACGGGAGGACAATCATTCGGCCCTCTTTGTGCTTCCCCCAATAAGTTGATCCAGCCCCCTCCTGCTGACCTTTTTCCCAACGCGAACTCGCCTGGGTGAAACGCCTCAAACTCAGATCTCATCGTACGCCTCGCAAGCTTTGCCATGCTCTCCCCGCGTATTGTTTGCACGTTCCACACGTTGAGAACGGCCGTACTTCTTCTTTGTGCGATTCCTCCAACAGCATGGGAGATGCCAGCAAATGTCACCTCACTGCAGTAAGCGCAGGTGTCCTCATATCAAACCCTTGAAAATTGGGAATCCTGCAAATGCCAGCTCTCAACAAAGGATACCTCTTCATACATTTGCAAATATATTCTCGATCGAACTGAATGCGTGTCCCTCAGTTGGCCGTGATTTCGCTTTTTCTCTCAGGTCCACGTGTAAGCTACAGCGGCTCGACAATGCTCCTGTGATGCAAAACCTTTGTGTGCCACCACAAACCTCAACTTCATGATAACATAGATATATATACATATATATATATATACAACAGAGATATACATATTTGCATTAGAGGCTTAACCCTGGCATACACAACAAGGTACTCAATTCAGTTCTTCATTCACGGTCATTTCGACAATTACGGGAACCCAGAAAGGCAACAGTGCAAATGGAATGGTTCACAGGCTATCGAAATACATACATTACATTACATTCCATTGCATTACATTACATTCCATTGCACTAGATTACATTAGATTCCATTCCATTACATGTCACATTCCATTACATTCCATTACATTCCATTACATTCCATTACATTCCATTCCATTCCATTACATTACATTACATTTACATACATACGGGTACATGTATACATGCAACTTTGTAGAACTCTGCAGTGGCGATTGAGGAGTGGCCAAGCAAAGGTCCGATTGTCTACACCCCGATTGACTGCAACACAGGCCGGCTTCTTAAAGCCGATCATGCGTGATGTGGCGAATCTGAACACTTTGTCGAATAGTGATATATTTGCTCATTTGCCATTGCCATTTGCTGTGACAGTAGCTTGCCGCTTGCCTTTTTCCATTTGCCATTGTCACAGTAGCTTGCCATTTGCGACAATACGCACACACGCAGGCATATTAGCCGTGGTCCGCAGGCCAAACATTGTCCTTCATTGGTTCATTGAACTACACGAATCACAGAAACCCCACGCCCACGCCCACGCGCGCGCTCTTGGTACAAGCGCGTGGGCACAACAGGCACACGAGCATAACCGGAAGCCCCTCGCTTCACGCGGCAGTCCCCGCACCTCTGCCGACATGCCATGGGATCCGGCCTCAAGGCCGGCGGGGGTTTCTGAACCAACAGAAGTTGGTCCATCCTCCCACAAAACAAATCAGGATGTGAGTCATAATCAAAACCCGGTAGTAAAATGGTCTACCCAGAACCATGTAAAGAATGAAGAAGGCGTCCTTACTAACCTTCGTCTACCCGGGTTTTGATTGTGGCTCATGTGGGTGTGCCTCATTACCCCTGTTTTGGGGGTTCTAAAGCAAAACCTAAAGGAAAACCGAAACCATTTTGGGGGAGTCCCCTAAAAAAGACACCCCCACATCAACAACGAGGGGCCTTCGTGCTGGTCGAACATGTCAAACGTATATCTCACGTGCAACGAGTGAAACTTGGCAAAACAACAGCGCACCGCATCAATACATCTTTCGACAAATGTCCACCCTCTTCCGGATTACTTGGCCGGCATGTTAGCCCTGCAAGTTTGCTGGCGGATATGCAGGGTCACCCTTCATTCTGCTGGTGTGGGATATGCAAACCCTCGAAGTTTGTTGTGTGGGATTCTCAGGGTAGCCCTGCAAGCTGGGCTTTGTTGGCATGCTAGACTCAGAGTAGCACCACTTGGGGGCTTCGTTTTTGTGGACAACGACGTTATTTTGCTAGCGTGGGGTAGCTCAGGGTAATGCTGGAGTTTTGTTTGTGGGATACGCAGGACAACGCATGGGTTTTGCCGGCACGAGACGAGAGTGGCTCGGAGAGAGCTTAGCGCCAGGTCCTATGTTGGTATAGGCATCTGGTGTTTTCTCAAAATGGTGGATCTCATTTGGTTGGTATTTCAAGGCAAACCAAAAGGAAACACTCCACTTTGGGGGGTTCTATTTTGACAAAACACCCATGTGATTACTGGAAAAGGCTGCATATTCCGTCCCTCGTGCCTGCACCAGTCTGGCATCCAAAACCGGGCCTGGCAGCGTTGAACCCCATCCGCTCCCCGGCTTTGCCTTCCCCCGCTGCTGTTGGTCTTGCTACACATGCCACGATTTGGGCGCTACTCCATGTTGAGCCAAGCAACAAACAATGATCAAACGCTCTCCAACGGCAGAAAGTTCTCTTCAACCTAAACTTCTTTGCTCGGGTATCATGAGTTGTTGTGGAGCGCAACCGCCTCACACGGGTCCGTGTTGAGCATGTCTCTGTTTTGTGTTTGGGTCGCGGGATCTTGAGTAAATGTTCATAAACCGTCCTGTTTCTGTATCCTTTAGAGGCGCCACCAAACGCCGAGCTCTAGACCAGGCCCGTAACTTGCCACCCAACACGTAAACAATTTTTGGTGTACTGCGCACCCCCTACTGCTGCATGCTAACAGTTGTCGAATCAAGAACAATGGGTGGATTTGAAATAGCAATCCGTGCTACAAAACAAAAACCCGAACAACCAAAGAAGCGAACTATCATCTAGCCACCAACACACGCACGTACCAATAACTCAACATGTAAACAGCTTGTAAACAGCACTGAACAAGCACTGAATAGGCACTGCGTAGCACTGAATACGCAATGAACAGCACTGACCAAGCAAGCAAGCAAAGCAAAGCAAAGCAAAGCAAAGCGCAGCGAAGCGAAACGAAGCGAAGCGAAGCAAAGCAAAGCAAAGCGGCCAGCCCGCCAGCCCGCCAGCCGCTGAGAAACCAACCAACCAACCAACCAACCAACCCACCCACCCACCCACCCACCCACCCACCCACCCACCCACCCACCCACCCACTCACCCACCCACCCACCCACACCCACCCACCCGCGCGCCTTCGTCAACGCCCCGCGCGCCTTCATCCGCGCCAGCGGCACCTTCTTCGGCGCCGGCTGTTTGCCGCGGACCCGCCTGGTGGGCTGCTCCGGCACCTGCGGCGCACCTGCGGCGCACCGAGATGCCGGCGCCCGGCCCGGCCCGCGCGAGCCTGGAAGAGGGCCTCCGCCTCTGCCGGCTGCGGCGCCTGGCCGGGCGACGGCGCGGCCGCGGTCTCCGTCCTTTCGCGCCCGCGCGCCTTGACCCTTGTGTAGGGCGGGAGCAGCCCTGCGTCGCGGGCCGCGCCCCGCCCCCTCCCTCAGGCAGCTTCCCGGCCTTTTTTCGGCCGCGCGCGCGTTCGCGCGCATGTGGGTCTTATACTCCCGGCGGGCCGCCAGCTCCGGCGGGGCCTACGGGTTCGTTCGTCGCTTCGTCGCTCGCTTTCTCTGATCTGTCTCCGGCGCCTCGCCCGTTTCGGTCTCTGTTGCTCGGAGGTCAGCCAAGCGCGCTTTGCGCTTAGCTTCGCTCGTTGCGTTCCAGGCGGCCTTTTTCTTCTTCGCCGCCTGTGCCGCGGTTCCCGTCCTCGGCCCTGCCTCTCTCTTTGCGCGGCGGGCCGCCTTCTTCTCCGCCTTCCTTCCACCCCACCCCACCCACCCACCCCACCCCCCCACCACCCCACCCCACCCCCACCCCACCCCACCCACCACCCCGCACGCCCCACCCCGCCCCGCCCCACCCCACCCCACCCCACCCCACCACCCCACCCCACCCCACCCCACCCCACCCCACCCCACCCCCACCCCCACCCCACCCCACCCCACCCCACACCCCACCCCCCGACCCCAACCCCTACTCTGCCCGGGAAGGTTCCGTTCGGAGAAGTCTGGCCACTGTATAATAATGTGTGTGCCAAACTAGATTGAGAAACGGCGGCCGGTGTGGAGGTGGCTTGTTTCCACAACCATTCAGCTGAAACCAGTCTCCGCCTTCCACGAGCCGGGGGTCTAGATTCACGCGTCCAAAAGTTGGGAATGAGTTTGTTTTTTGGAAGGGGCCGTTTGTCCAAAGCAAAGCGCACAGAAACCATCGGTTCTGTTTTTGGGGGGGAGCGTTTGCTCTTTGAAGACAACCCCGTGTTGTTTTGTCTTCCTTTTCCACGGGTCAGCCATCTGCAAAAGCTCTAGCGTGTTGGAGGAGAGAAACAAGACAAGGTAGGTCTTGGATGACTGGCAGGTAGGTCTTGGACGACTGGCACGCTAAACTGGCTAATGTTTCGGAAGATGCGTTGGATCCGCGTTGGTTACCAGGTAGCTGGCATTGCTTAGGTCACTCGGAGGGCGGACCATGAGGTCGTCCTCTGTCAAAACATCCTGGGCGCCGTGCAACACAACAACCCCAGACTTGCTCGTGCAAAGCGCAACCTGGGCAGGACTACACATGCAATCAACCCAGCTATCGTTTTTTGGGGGACCCTGTCGTTTTACTGTGGCTTTGCGCGGCCGCCTTGCAAAACCTTGTTTCGCCGAGCAACGCTCTGCAGAAACCCTTGGGCTTGAGCTGCTGCCGGTGGAGCGAAGAAACATGAAAAGAAGAAGAAAAAGACAGAAACGAAACGGAAAAGGAAAGAAACACCAGAAGGAAGGAAGGAAGAAAGCAGCGCATCAGGAAATAAGAAATGAGAGTCAAGAGGCGCTCGGCCCTGACCCGGGCCCGGACCCAGCCCCGCCCAGCCCCGCCCAGCCCTGCCCCACCCGGGCCGCCCACCCCGAGCCCCCCCCCCCGCCCACCCCGCGCCGTCGCCCCCCCGCCCCCGCCCCGCCGCCCGCCGCCCCGCCGCCCGCCGCCTGCCCCACCCTGCCTCGCCCCACCCACCGCACCGCGCACCCACCGCACACCCCACCCCACCCCACCCCGCCCCACCCCACCACCCCATCGCACCGCACCGCCCCCCGCACCAGCACCAGCACCAGCACCAGCACCAGCACCAGCACCAGCAGCAGCACGGCACGCCAACCAACCCACCAACCAACCAACAAACAAACAAACAAACAAACAAACAAACACAAAATGCAAGCAAATCATTAACAAACAAACACAAAACAAGAACAGAACTGCACAACACATCACAACACACAAAGAGCAGACAGACATGTAGATAGAGACAGAGACAGAGGACAGACAAGCAGGCAGGCAGGCAGGCAGGCAGGCAGGCAGGCAGACAAATAGATAGAGGGACAAACTGAAGCACGTACGGACGGACAAACAGACGGCGAAATAAAAAGACAGACAGATACACAAGCTGACTGATTGACTGGACAAACGCACAACAGAACGGACAGGCAGGCAGGCAGGCAGACAAACAAGCAAAAAACAAAACATGGGGTGTCTGTTTTTAAGGGTACCTTTGTGGGGTGTGGCTTTAAAGGACAGCCAAAGGAAAACCACAATTCTGGTTATTTGAGACAAAGCCATAGGTCCCATGCCCAACCCCCGCCTGGCACGGCCGGCCTGGGCCGAACCAGCATGCCGAACTGGCCCAACAAAACCCCCAGCCAACTTTGCAGACCGCAAGACCATACAACCTGACACTCACCTTTTTTGAGGTTCGAGGCAAGAAGTCCGCAAGTCTTGCTGTCAAAATTGGGGGTGCGCGGCTTTCCCTGGTCTTTCTTAAGCCAACCTTAAAAAGGGTACCGGGTAGCCTCAACACACCCACTCTGCGCATGAGGCCGCAGCGGGAAGGCCGGGAAGCCGGGGGGAAAGCCAGCGGGCAGGCCAACAGGAAAGCCTCGGCTCAGACCGGCCTCCCCGTCTTGCATCCGGTTTCTTGTGTAATTTCAATGGTTGGATCAAGCGCGGGTCAGAAACATAGGCAATAGCCCAGACCTTTGAAGCGTCGAGCTCTTCCACCGATTTGAAGCCTAGAGCCTTCCGACTCCCATTCTCCGCGCCGAGCTGCCAGGAGGAAAGCCCGGGGGCATGTCGCCTCTCCGTCCAAACAACTTGGCATCTTCCGACCCCGACCCCCCAGCTCCCGCCTCCGAAAGGTGGCGGAAACCCCGGTGGGAAGCCTGCGGAGACTAGCGAGTCGTCCAGACTCGCGGTGTCTTGCATCTCATGCAACGGACCAAACTGGGCAAGGAAAACAAGGCTTTTTGACTCTGCGACAAACTTTCTGGAGGTCAAAGTGTCTCACTTGGATGTTCACCTGACCCCTGTATCCCATGGAAGCAAGGCCCTTCAGCGCGATCACGCTGGCTTCAGCGAAGTAAGCCATTCGTATCTGATCCAATGGATCGGTTTGATGAGCTTGCGCAGACTGCAACAAATCCTTGGGTGCGGTTTCATTCCGCTGAGATCTCCAGCAACCTCAAACAAACCTTCCGGTCACTTGGGCTCGGCCCGCACCAATTGGGGGTGCCGGGGTACCCAAAAAAGAGCCCGTCTTTTTTGAGGCACCCCCTAAAATCAAGCTTTAAGAAGCAACCCCAACAAAATGGGAAACAGCTTCCCCGACAGCCTGAGACCCATGAAATCAACTCCAAGCCTTCTGGAAGCTGAAAAGGCCTCAGGAAATGAGAAAACGTTCATGGAAGCTTCTGCGGAAAACATGAGCCCTCGTCTCAATACCCCCACCCTATCCACCATGTAAATATGTACATATTGCGTATATCCGCTCGAAAACATATATGTGTTTATCTACATAATTATGTTTTATTCGCTGCTGCTTGTCTATTAATTTATGTAATTATTCATTTATATCTACTGTATTTCTTAGACCTTTGGCAAGCTGCCTGTTTTGTTTGGTGATCATCTAGTGACTATTCAAGCGCAGCTCGTGTGTTACGTGGGAAAGCGCGTGGCAGCTTGACACGCCGTGTGAGCTCGATCCAGAGTTGGTGTGGCCGCTCAGGAGTTGTTTGGGCATGTGGGACCTTGCAAATGGCCGGTTGCCTTTCGCTTGCCTTTCAACCAACCCCACAAGGAGTACCCTCAAAAACCCACACTCGCTTGGCACGCTTGGTGTCAAAGCAGAACCCACACACGCGCGTAGATCCTCTCCCCTCTCGCCACCATGAGAAGCCCACGGGGCCGCCAGCGGGGCTGCCAGCGGGGCCGCAGGCAAGCCTGCGCTCACGACTGGATCATCATGGCAAAAAGGGCCCGAGCAAACAAAGGGTACCCTGAAAAAACACTCACCCAAAAGCTGAACCGTGTTTTGCATTGCAAACCATCTTGGCACCCTCGATTTCTACTCTCGAAGCAAAACAAAAGAGCCCGGTCAAATGGAGATGCTTGGCTTCCTCTTGATTGGCCCCCTCCAAAAAAGCAACGGACCCATCCCATTGTTTTCACCCCTCCGGGCATGGACCTTCCTCATGTTTCCTTCAACTTCCGGTGCGGAGCTTGCGGCCTTCCGGCTGAAAGGCACGGGAGTTCACGTCGAGCCAGGCCTACAGATCGTTCAGTCCAGATCCAACCTCCAGATCTCCCAAGCCAGCCGCGTTGAGTGCGGAATTGACTGCAGCTGAGGTCCGACGAGTTCTGATTTGAAGTAATTTGAAGCGTTGGGTACAAAGAAAGCTGCGATCTGAAACTTGAGATTCAACAGGCTCTGATTTGAGGAGTCGAGTACTCTTAGAACGCTCGAGGCGTAAGCCAAGAGTCAAGAAGTGGCAGCACCGCAGCTTTGGCAAGAGCAGAAGTGGAAGAAACGATGCCGAGGTCAAGAACTCTTAAAATTGCCAGACCCGTCATGGAAGAGCTCGGAAAGACCTGCCAATTCCTTGACAAGCACCCCCAGAATGTGCGCCGCAGCTCCAGCATCACAGCGCCCAAGAAGGTGCCGAAGAGGAAATGGATTCCGACAAATGCACAAGCAAGAACCAGCGAATCTCGAGTTTGATGGTCATTTCCCTTTTGGTTTCCGTTCACAATGTTAGCAGCAAAAAGGACTCCACCAGAAAAACAAAAACACACACACACGCACATTCACCGCGAGGCCCACGCCCTTACGTGCATCTTGGCCATCTCCCGGGCTTCTTGCGTGCCGAGGATGGCGAAGTAAGGCCTCGACTTCAAGAGGGACGGATTGTTGGAGGGCCCGTACTTTAGTTGGGAGGTGGAGGGAGGCCGGGCAAACACAACACGATCACATGGGAAGAAAGAGAACGACAGCAACTTCATCCAAGCCGCAACTGCAAACGCAAACAAAACACAAGCCTACCAACCTCAAGTAAAGAACCGGTCTGTTGCCCGTGGCACATGTGGCCTACGCGCAGCCTTTGGGTCCCGACCCGCCCTCATGGTCCGGCCGCTCGTGGATGGTTACTCTCGCCCCTGTCTCCTGTACACATGGGATGCGCGCGCAGGAACCTACGGGATCAGTTTGGAAACACTCGAAACAGCAACCTGCTCATGCGTTAGGAGTGTTGGCGTGTGTTTATGTTTATGTGGATGTGTGTGCGTGTTGTGTGTTGCGTGTTGTGGTGTTGTGTGTTGCGCGCGCGTGTGTTGTGTGTTGCGTTCTGTGTTGCACGCTGCGTGTTGTGTGTTTGTGTTGTGTGCTGTGTGTTGCGTGTGTGTGTGTGTGTGGTGTGTGTGTGTGTGTGTTGTGCTGTGCGCTGCGTTGTGTTTTGTGTGTTGTGTGTTGTGTGTTGTGCGTTGTGTGTGTTGTGTGTTGTGTGTTGTGTGTTGTGCGGTGTGGTGTGGTGTGGTGTGGTGTGTTGTGTTGTGTTGCGTTGCGTTGCGTTGTGTTGTGTTGTGTTGTGTTGTGTTGTGTTGGGTTGGGTCGGGTCGGGTCGCGTTGCGTTGCGTTGCGTTGTGTTGTGTTGTGTTGTGTTGTGTTGTGTGTGTGTTGTGTTTTGCGTTGTGTGTGTGTGTTGCGCTGTGTGTGTTGTGTGTTGCGTGTTGCGTGTTGTGTGGTGTGTGGTGTGTGTTGTGTGTGTTGCTTGTGCGGGTAGGTTGTGTGTTGCGCGCTGTGTATTTTGTGTTGCGTGGTGTTGTGTGTTGCGTGTTGTGTGTTGCGCGCTGCGTTCAACCTGTGAGTATTTGGAATCAACTCAGGAGTTAATTCCTTTAGCTTCTGGCTTGAGAAGGGTGAAGGAATCGACTGGGCCTCGTCGCAATGTTGCCTGTAGATGTGTTCGCGGGTTTTTGCACCGCGAGGCACGCTGTGTGCGGGCCACGCAGACGTCCTCTGAACTGTCTGCAAAAGAGCTACAAATGTTCTGCGTAGACCCGTCCGGCACGGCTCCGAAACCTGCGCTTCAAGCATCTTCAAATCCGTGGGTAATTGTCATCGTTGAAAAAAAGAAACTGGCCCTCGTGCGAGGGCTGAGTGTTACAAGCAGATCGCCTGTAAGTCCATCTGACATCTTCTACGCGTTCTTGGCAAACGCATGCTAACTCCATGGCCTCATCGGTTTGCGACGGAAATGAGTGTGAAGGGTAATGAGTATAACAAGGAAGGGGATAAGCGGGAAAGACGGGTTTGCAAAAGTCATGGCCGCGTTCGTCCCACGCAAATGCTCCACCCACAAGCATGTCCGTGATCAAGCAAGACGCCCCGTCAAGGCCTGAGCCGAAATCTTGACCATGCGGACTTTGCCACTTTACTCTTGACCCCGCGCAGCGGTTGACACATGTGTCAAACACATGTGACCAAAATGCTATTGGGCTCTACAGCTGTGCTGGAGGCAACGATGCAGCTGGACTTGTGGCATAGCCTCCTGGCTTTCCAACGCAGCCTCAGCCCCGTTGCAGCAAGCATTGTCGAAAAAGCCGTGTTTCAAGGTCACGCCAGCACTCTTTGACATAGCTACGAACTTTTTGGCGAGCAGGCCATGGATTCACTGTGAGACAAGAGAAACAAAACAAGGCAAAAGCGAAGATGCGGCTTTCCGCGCGAGGAAGCTCTGGTTTTTCTCCGCGGCCAGGAGTAGGCGGCCTTCGTCGCACCACACGCACACCGTCTGCCCGGGGCTGGGCTGCGCCCGCTCGCCGGGCACGCTGGTGCTGAAAATGCACGCCATGGCGGGGACGCCGGGGCAGTAGCGCGGCATGCTGCTGGCGCTGGGAAAAGCAATGAGAACGGTCGAGCCACTCCCAACAGCAGACGTGCCACATTGGTCTGTCAAGTAAAGTCCACGCAGAAACATGGAAGGTTCTGGGTCAAAAGCCACTCCTCTGACTCCTCTGCCAAATCGAAGCTGGCCATATTTTGCACAGATTCAGTCGAAAGCAGCACAATCCGGGCAGGAGGCTTGGACAAGAAACAATTGAGAGAAGCAACGCGATCTGCTGCCAGCCTCGCAACATTTCCTGCTCGCTGGGCTATAGCGCTGGCCACGCCCTCCACTTGGCGCGCTTCTTTGCATTCTCCCGTCTCACGACACGCAAGCGAAAGTTCCCGTTCCAGAGCACCAAACAAATGGTGATCCCAAACCAAGATACAAACAAAAGCAGGTCAAGTCTATTTCCTGCATGCGCTTGCCCAACTCCGAAATTTGCACATGGTCATCATCAGAGCCCAAGAACCTCCACCTTTTGGCGCAGGCTTGGTGCTCCAGAACCCCAACAAGGCACGACGACCTGGGGCAGATGTGTCAGCTTTCGGCTCTGCTCGGGCTGTGCCGAAGAGTGGAGCCATTCAACTGCACCACTTCCAGCTATTGCCAAGGTGCAGCTGTTTGCCCGCTCTGCGGGCGGGCTCTCGCATTCCACCAATGCCACGAATGACTTCAAGCCGGAAAGCTTCAAAACACAGAGGTCCACAGTCAACCAAGACAAAAGGGGCCCGCCGAGTTTCTAAAGGGCTGGCAGAGTTCAGGCGCTTCATTCTTTTGCAAGAGTGCCCAAGAAGAACTAATTCTGGATTTAAGTCTTGTTGGACAGTGCCCTGGCTTGTAAAACTCGGAAAGGATCAAGTCCGGAGCTAATCCCTCAATAAAGGAAGCCAGCAAAAGCAACTAACTCGGCAGTCAAGACTTACAGTCCCAGGTTCATCTACTGCTATGGATAAGAGTTACCTGCAGCATCAGCAATAGTCGACTCTGGTATTCACTCCTTTCTGTTGTGTGTTGTGTGTTCTGTGTTCTGTGTTGCGCGTTGTGTGTTGTATGTGAGTGTGTGTGTGTGTGTGCTGTGTGTTGTGTGCTGTGTGTTGTGTCTTGCGTGTTGCGTGTTGTGTGTTGTGTCTTGCGTGTTGCGTGTTGTGTGTTGTGTGTTGTGTGTTGCGTGTCGGTAGAGACTGAATCCAAAAGCTGAATAGTTTAAAACTGCGGTGTGTGTGTGTGTGTGTCTGTGTGTGTCTGTGTGTGTCTGTGTGTGTCTGTGTGTGTCTGTGTGTGTCTGTGTGTGTCTGTGTGTGTCTGTGTGTGTCTCTGTGTGTGTGTGTGCGAGTGCGTGCGCGCGCGCGTGCGTGCGTGCGTGCGTGCGCGCGCGGGTGTGTGTGTGTGTGTGTGTGTTTCTGTGAGTGTGAGTGTGAGTGTGTGTGTTGTGTGTGTGTGTGTGTGCGTGCGTGGGTGGGTGGGCGTGCGGGCGTGCGGGCGTGCGGGCGGGCGTGCGTGGGTGTGTGCGTGGGTGTGTGTGTGTGTGTGTGTTTTGTTTGTGTTTGTGTTTGTGTTTGTGCTTGTGCCTGTGCCTGTGCTTGTGCTTGTGCTTGTGCTTGTGCTTGTGCTTGTGCTTGTGTTTGTGTTTGTGTTTGTGTTTGTGTTTGTGTTTGCGTTTGTGTTTGAAACTGTTTGTGTTTGTGTTTGTGTTTGTGGTTGTGTGTGTGTGTGCTTGTGTTTGTGTTTGTGTTTGTGTCTGTGTTTGTGTTTGTGTTTGTGTGTGCGCGCGCATGTCTGGTGTGTGCGTGCGCTTGTGCGTGCGCGTGTGCGTGTGCGTGTGCGTGTGTGTGTGTGTGTGCAAATGCGTGTGCGGTGCGCGCGCGCGCGTGCGCGTGCGCTTGCGTGTGCACGTGCGCGTGCGAGTGCGCGCGCGCGTGCGCGCGGGCGTGCGCGGGCGCGTGGGCGTGGGCGTGGGCGTGTGCTCGTGCGTGTGCGTGCGCGTGTCCAAGTGCGAATGTCTGCGTGCGCGTGCACGTGCGCGTGACTGCGCCCGTGCGCGTGCGCGAACGCGTTTGCGTCTGCGTGTGCGTGTGCGTGTGCGTGTGCTAGTGCGTGTGTCTGCGTGCGCGTGACTGTGCCCGTGCGCGTGCGCGTGCGCGTGCGCGAGCGCGTTTGCGCGCGCGTGCGCGTGCGCGCCTGCATGTGCGTGTGCGTGTCCGTGTGCGTGTGCGTGTACGAGTGCGTGCGCATGTGCATGTGCGTCTGCATGTGCGTGTGTGTGGGTGTGTGTGTCTGTTGTGTGTGTGTCTGTTGTGTGTGTGTCTGTTGTGTGTGTGTGTGTGTGTGTGTGTGTGTGTGTGTGTGTGTGTGTGTGTG